AATGATCTTCTAAAAATAGACACGATATTTTACTAAAATAATTTCTATGTTAAATATATATATATATATAAAAATTATATATACACACATATATATATATATATATATACACATATATAATACTAATAAAAAAAAATAAAACAACTTCTAAATTAGTCTAAACTAGTCTAAAAAAACTTCTAAATTTTTAAACATAACTATGTAATAAGTTTTTGTAGAGAAAGAAAATTGTATCGATTAATACATTTAAAAATAGATGAGTTCTATTTTTAAAAAAATATGAATGATCTTAGAATCTAAAAGAATAATAAATATTTGGATAAATTTTTAATTATAATATTTACCTTTTAAATTACATAATTTTTTTCTGAAAGATTTTTTTCATACTATTAAAAACAATTAAAGTCTAAATTAGATGGGATTGACCAAATTATATTCATGAAAAATTTTCAGAATCATTATTTCTAAAAGATTTCCTAAAATAAAATATTAGAAACAAATCAAATATATAAATATATATTGCGCGAATGCTTTGCGCGAAATGAAGGCACAACGAGAAAGTGAAAGCACATTTGCAATCCTAGAAAGAAAGGAAGAGCTGTTGTTCTCTATTTCATATTTACTGTATGATAGTATATGATGTATTAAAATTATAACAAAATGCAAAATGAAATACAAGAACAATGTTCTTTACATATAGTTTCCTGTAGAGAAATAAAAAAAGAAATATTAAAAAAGAATGAAGGAAAAAAGAGTAAAAAAGAAAAGAATTTTAACAAACAAAATTAAATCAAGAAAGAAATATTTTCTAATTTTTAAGAAGTTCTTATAAATAATGTTAAAATATATAATAGAGTTGCAATGTATTTAAATTTTTCAAATAAATGACATAATCAGATGCCCAATATTAAAAAGAGAGAGAAAGAAGAAGAAGAGAGAGAGAGAGAGTATCATATAGAGATTATAAGTATTAATTAGTAAATTCCTACGAAAAAACTATGTCCATAAATTGTAAATATAGAGTAACATATTTACGGCGTTGGCTCTATTCAATATATTATTCAATATATTATATTATTACATATACTACTAGATAAAATTCCATTAATCTTTGATGTTATCAAGTATAAATAAAAAAATAAACGTATAAATAAAAAATACAATAAGAAATTATGTCAGTAATAAGAAAAATTATAAATAGATACAAAATGGAGATTCTATATTAGATGACAAATATTCATTTATATTTATTAGGTCTATCTATTGAAAAATGTAAATGTTCTATTAGAAGAAAAACATCTAAATAATTTTTTATATTTTAATCGTATTAAAAATATTAATATAATTTGTATAATTTTATTAAGTAATTCTTTGTATTTCCATTATTGATATAGATATGGTTTTTATATAAAATATTTAAGATAAATTATTATTTTCTCACATTATATTAGAGTTGTAATTTTATTATGAAAGTTTTTTTTAATTTCTTCAGTCTATATCTTCCAAAACAAGGTGTTGTACATATAATGTGACTAATTGTTCATTTTTATAATGAATTTGATATTTAAGATGACATCTAAACATTATAAAAATAATATGGATTTGTCTAAGCTATCCAATATTATATATTGATTTCAAAAATATCTAAACAACGCAAGATATCTTCAGGATGATCTGAAATATATTCTGAATATTCTTAGATATAGATATTTAGAATTTTACATCTTTTATAAAAATGTAATATTCTTAATTACTAAGAGATTTTCAATGATTAAATACTAGTAATATTTTAGTAATTATTTGGACATTTTAGTAATTATTTGCTTATCTATATAGTACATGATATCACAGCAATATTTTTTTATAGGAATATTACAGTAAGCTATAGGCTGCATTCCAAAACTCCCATTATGTTTATTAGAGCTGCGTTCCGAGATTCACTGCAAGTACTAAAATCTATAATCTATAATATACGTGACCTGAACTATATATTTTCAGTACTGGCAGTGAATATCAGAATGCAACTCTAATAAGCATAATAGGCGTTTTCCAACAAGAGACGCAATGTGATAACAGTGAATCATTTTAGCCTTAGTGTTTTTTAATGTTAAATTGCTTTTATAATTAGTGTCACATATTATAGATTTTCAATACTGGCAATGAATATTGGAACGCAGTCTAAGGAATATCGGCCTAAAAATGTGCGTCGAGCGTTAATATGAAAAGGCACCTTTATTGACAACTTTGATGCACAACAGTGCACACGTGCACTGTGTATTATCAAAAATGTTGGCATTTACAAATTTTAGATTATTAGGGTATCAGAAATCAATATTTTTGATTTGTAAAAATTTGTATAAAAAGAGGGATGTATTTTATATTAAATTTAGTAGCGCGAATAATATCGGAACGGAAATTGTTACGTTATCCGATGGGTAAGAATTTTCATAACCTATATTTGAAATTGTATGATATTAGATATAATTATTATTACAAATTTTGTTGGGAGTACACAATAAATAATTTGTCCATGGTGTGCTAAAAGATTAATAAATTCTATCAAAAATTATTAAATAATTTAATATTTACTGTATTGAAGTTTCGTATTTTGCTTATTTATTGTCCTAACCTGATAATAATTTGATGAAACCAAATTACACATGTCGAATGCAAAATTTGTTTATTTCTAGTTCAGTTTTTTTAGTCAAAATGTCTAGCAAATGCCAAAGACTGCTTTATTTATACCATCAATTTTTATCATATTTTATTAATAAACTTCGTTATATTTTTATTTGTATTTTGTTATATATTTGTTTGTATTTTTTCTTTACATATGAATTGTATCAAATCTATGCCAATAAAATTTGTAGTAAACGTTTTGCTGAATTAGCAATACAATAACAAACAGTTTTGTTTTCAATAGACAGATTATTTTAATTATATTTACTTGATTGTGAATTATAAGATATCTATATTTATTGTGCATAAGAAGATATATGTTATAAAGTTCTGATTATATATGCATTTTTAGTTAGATGTACTAATTTTGTAGTGTATCTTTTCTTCTAATTTACTTTTTAATAAGAAAATATCTGATTAACTTTATATCAATTTTTTTGTATCAAAAGTTAATGAAAAACATCTTTGTAATTTTTAATTATTAATATTTTGTATTTTCTAATTAAATTTTAAACATGTTATTCAAACAATACTTATTTGAAACTGAGACATAATTTTATTATTTATAATTGTTTTGAAGTTGTTTGTTTTTAAAAACTCTGTTTTTAGTTTATATTGTTTGCTGATTGTGAATTTTTGATTATTTTTATAGGTCAATTAAATTTAAGAATTTCAAAATTTAAAACTGATCATATTTTTCTTGTTCATTTTTCTGCGAATTATGATTTATTGTATGTAAAATATATTTTTAATATTTTAATATAATTTTAATACTTTAATAAGTAATAATTTTAATTAAAATGATTAAGAGATTTATGAGATTATGTTAAGGGTGATTGCAGTTTTAAATTTTGACAATTTTTAAATTTAATCAGCCGATGAAGATTAATCAGAGATGATAAGATTGATCTCAAGTATTTACAAGTTATTAGAAAGATATCTGTATATATGTCTAATTAACTTATATATATTTCTAATTAATTAACATATTTTATATTTAGAAAACAGTTACGTTTCTCTACGGGTAAATATGCACGTTTTGCTGATGGTAGTGCAATTGTATCTTTAGGAGATACTTCTGTCATGGTTACAACAGTTTGCGAACATCAGTCAACTAACTCCTCGTTCCTTCCACTCGTTGTGGATTATAGACAAAAAGCAGCAGCAGCTGGTCGTATACCATCTAACTTTTTACGAAGAGAACTTGGACAAACTGAGCATGAAATCCTTACTAGTAGGGTTATTGATCGATCTATAAGGCCATTATTTCCAAAAGAATTTTACTTTAACACTCAGATAATGTGTAATATGTTAGCTATTGATGGCATAAACGATCCTGATGTAATTGCCATTAACGGTGCCTCTGCAGCTCTTAGTGTTTCCAATATTCCATGGAATGGTCCTGTGGGTGCTGTTAGAGTTGGAATGATCGATAATGAAATAATAATCAATCCTACTAGACGTCAAATTCAAGATAGTACATTAAATATTATTGTTACTGCGACTAAGCAAAATCTAATTGTTATGCTAGAAGGTTCAGCTAATGAAGCATTAGAGCAATATATAAAAAAGGCAATAAAACTTGGTGTCAAAGAATGTCAAACTATTGTAACAGCAATAACGAATTTACAAAAGACGTGTGGTAAGATGAAAAGAGAAATTAAAACTATTGAACAAGATGATAATCTAAAAAATTCTGTAAAAGAACTCTCGGAAGCAAAATTACGAGATATATTTTCAAATCATACACATGATAAGATCTCAAGAGATAATGCAATTAATAATCTTAGAAGTAATATTATAGAAACATTACGAAATACCAATGCAGACTTGAATGATAAATTGGTAGAAAAAATCTTTAACAAAATTGTTAAAAATGAATTCAGGACATTAATTTTAGAAAAAGAAATCAGGTATGTTCTTCTTCATTATGGGAGCTTTCTAGCAAGTGACACAAACGACACAAAATGACACAGTGTTCAACACAGTGCTTTCCAACAATGACACGTTACACAAGTATACACAGCTTAAAAGCTAAATTGTGGCTTGTGTATCAAGTACATGGCTATCAACTATTTGGAAAAGATCAAAGTTAATACGTTATAAAATTTGGCCTAACTTTGAGGAAACAAATAATATAATATGAACAATATTATATTATATATTCCTTGAGGAAACAAATTATTTATTCCTCGAGGAAACAAATCATATTTAATGTTTAAAACGCAATTTACTGGCAACATCGAGAATTAAATTGTTCCAGCAAACAGCTTTACACAATGCTTCAGTGTTTGACAATGTGTTTTCTAGCTGGAAAACTCCCTATGTCATAAAATGTTTCACTATCATTGCTTTTTAAATAATTGCACAAATATATTAAGAATTGACGATTTTTTCTAGATGTGACGGTCGTCCATCAAATGGTTTACGTGATATATCATGTCAAGTAGATCTCTTCAACCCTCTTCATGGCTCAGCTATGTTTCAAAGAGGTCAAACACAGGTCATGTGCACTGTGACTTTGGATTCTTTAGAAAGTGCACTTAAAATGGATGCCATTTCAATGCTACTTAGGTATATTAATAAAATGTGGTATAATTTTTTTGTGATTTATTTTGCTTTTTGATATTGTGACAATTATATAACATGTAAAATTTTATTCATTTAAAGATTTTGATATAAAATATAAAAATTAGAAAATAATTTTGTAATAAAAATTAGCTAGCAATAAACAAAAATATCCACAAACTGGTGAATGCAAAAACTTGTGCATAATATGAGATTGTTCACAGATATAATATTTATAATATATTAGTATTAATATTTATTATTTTCTTGACCATTGAATTTGTTTTCTTTAATCATATTAATATAATAAATATTTTAAATTGAATTTTTTGTTGCAGTGACACAAAGGAAAAGAATTTTTTTCTTCATTATGAATTTCCACCTTATGCAACTAATGAAACAGGGTATATGGGTCGGGTGGGTCGCCGAGAATTAGGACATGGCGCTTTAGCAGAGAAAGCATTGCGACCAGTTCTGCCAAAGGACTATCCTTTCACTATAAGATTAACTAGCGAAGTTCTAGAATCAAATGGTAAGATAATCCCAAAATGATTTAAGATTCCTGACTACACAGCTAAGAATTCCGCATTGAGATATCTTATATTTTATTTTGGCATTTTTAAAATATAAAAATATCTTGTAAATTATCTATTTATTGATACCCATATTATAATACTTTTGTACATAAAATAATCAATTAACATAAAAAAAGATAGTATATAATTGTTTAAAAAATATAATCAATTTGCAATAATGCAGATACATATTTTTTT